AAAATGCAAGTCTAATTTTAAAATTCATGTATAAAAACTAGTATGTTAATATTTAATGTTAAATATTAGTATGTTACTGTTAATATTCATGTAATAGCCAAGAAACTTACAAAAATTACTATCAAAGGCTCAAGAGATATATACTGCGGGTTGGAGGAACTGTTCAGCAGTTGGGAACATGTTCTGCTGCTACTAAGGAGCTGGGCTTGTTTCCTAGCACCCACATGGTGGTTCACAACCATTGAAATATATAACCGAATTGTAAAAGTTCTTTCAAGTGTAATATTCACATGCAATATAACAAACTAGTCTAAAAATATAGTACATAAAATCTTTTTGATAGAAGTACTATTTCCACAACATATTAAACTCTTAAATACTATATTTTTTCAAAAGAAGAAAACCAATAATTTAAGTAACATTTCTTCCTATATATTTAGGTCCTAATAAGTGACTAGTAAAAGGTACCCTAACTTATCAATTTATATGAAAACTTCTTTGCAACTACCTTCTCTCAAAAGCTAAAAATTTCTTCCACAGCATAAGCACCCACAACTACAACAAAAATACCTCATGTATTTGAAAAAACAAAAACAAAAACAAAAAACAAACAAACAAAAAAAACTGATTCTCTTAATACTTAAAACTACTCTTGGTAACACTGAATGCGATCTGTATCACTGAACAGTAGTAAGTATATCAACAAAGCTATAGCAAACATTGTATGTAAGTCAAACTGGGAATAGATATATAATCTCACAAGTCTAGTCAATAAGTTATCCCTTGTTGATTCCTCTCTGTGCTAAACATTTGCTCCTAAGAACAAATAGGACTCAACAGTTTCTTAAATCCTTAACAGAACTATGATGTAAATTCTATTATCTTTACTACCAAATAAAAACAGAATTTAGTGGCTCAAAGCTAGGACTGACTGCAAAGCCTAACATTTTTAGTGCTGCCAAGTACTTCTTAGCAGGCTGGCACCCACATCATAGCCCTTTAGATCAAGGGCTATGATGGTGACATATAGAGTGTTAGATAAAGACAGATGAGTGACTCCTCTGGCAATCTAAAAGAAGCACAGCTATAGCCCAAGCCATTCCCTCGTGAAATTGTATACCTAATACCATAAAAGAAACTTTACATAGGTTGCTTTTGACACTCTTTTAAAATGAGAAGTTGAGGGCTGGGAAGACAGCTCAGAGGTTGAACACTGGCTGCTCTTCCAAAGGTCCTGAGTTGAATTCCCAGCAACCACATGGTGGCTCACAACTACCAGATAATGAGATCTGATGCCCTCTGTTGGCCTGCAGGCATTCATGCAGACAGAACGCTATACATAGTAAATAAATCTTTAAAAATAAAATACAATAAAATGAGAAGTTGAAGTTACAACAGATTCCTAATAATACATATTTGGGGCAAACTTTAAAGCAATAAAAAAATAATGCTAGACATATACCCAACAAGATGTAGAACAATGCACTAGCTTTGAGAACATCAGGCCACAATGAACTCTGCTATGGACATAATCACTAAACAGTTATATCTTTTACATCATTCTGTTTTCTTTCTTTGTTTTTTTAATTTATTTGCTTATTTGTTTATTTATTGTTTGTTGGTTGGTTGGTTTGTTGAAACAGGGTTTCTCTGTGTAGCTTTGGCTGTCCTGTACTCACTTTATAAAACAAGCTGACATTGAACTCACATCAATCCTGCCTGCTTCTGGAGTGCTGGATTAAAGGCTTGCACCACTATACTCAGCTAAGTCTTTCTGTTTTCTATGTTCTTCTTTTCATCACAGAGCTTTTAATCTTGATTTTTGTTTACTATTCCCAATTTGTGTTTTCTTGATTTCCTCACACCTATTCAAATTTCAGATCCATCTTCAAAGTATTACATCCTCAGTGTGACATTAAAATTCAAGTCACCCACTAATTCTTCTCCAAAAGATCATGTTCATCTCTTTTGTCTCAGTATCCACCAGAGTACATGACATATAGGAAGTATCTAAAAGGTTATTTGTGGAAGGAGAAGAAGGGGAAGGGGAAGGGAAAGAAGAAGGGAAGGGAGGGGAAGAAGGAAAGAAGGAAGGAAGGAAGGAAGGAAGGAAGGAAGGAAGGAAGGAAGGAAGGAAGGAAGGAAGGAAGGAAGTCAGCCAGCCAGCCTAGGTCAGACAGCCCAAAAGAAAGAAATCTTTGAGCAACTTCTCTACCTTGGCTTGTCTGAGCTCTAGACTCAAATTCAGAACATTACTCCTACTATAGCACTACCGGGAACACTGTAAGCCAAAAAAAAAAAAAAAAAAAAAAAAAAAAGTAAAAAAAGGACAAATGCAGGGGATTTTATAAAAGCACAAAAAGTTATATATGTATATCTGATTTTAAGAATTAAAACCTGGGAGCTTGAGAGATGGCTCAGAAATTAAGAGCACTGACTGCTCTTCCTGAAGACCCGGGTTCAATTCCCTGTACCCACATGGCAGCTCACAACTGTCTATAATTCCAAGATCTGACACCATCACACAGACATACATGCAGGCAAAATACCAATGAACATAAAATAAATATAAAAAAAAGAATTATAACCTGGATGAAATACTGAGATTTTATATTACCCTAAAAAATACAAGTAATGGTTTTATTTTATCTCCATTTTATATTTACTATCTGAAAAATGGTTCAACACAAAATATTTATTTTAAAAACTACTTACTATGCCTGTAGGAGTTAATCCAAATGAATATATTAAAGAAAAATTTTCAAATTTGTACAATTTTATGGTGCAAAATGCTTCTTCAAATATGAAGACAGTACCTGCTGGGCATGGTGGTACACACCTTTAATCCTAGCACTAGGGAGGCAGAGGCAGGGTTTCTGTGAGTTGGAAGACAACCCGATCTACATTATCAAGTTCCAGGGCAACCAAGGCTATGTAGAGTGATCCTGTCTGAAAACAAACAAATAAAACAGAAACAAATAGTTGCTAAAGTTTCTAAAACTTCTATATGATTTTTAATAGGCTTAACCACAGTGATTCATAATGAAATTACCAAATTCCTATGAACAAGAATGAATTAAGTATATCTTATTTAAAAAGAAAAGAAAGAAGAAAGGAAGAAGGAAGGAAGGAAGGAAGGAAGGAAGGAAGGAAGGAAGGAAGGAA